TAAAATCTTAAAAAATGTTTAAAAATACGAAATAGAACATACACATATAGAAAAGTACATAGAACATATATGTATGGTTTACTATACATTTTTAATTATAAAGCCAAATTCTGCATATCTACTGCCCAGGTCAAGAAATTAAACAATCCAGAAGGCCACGTGTGGTGTAGCAGTTCTTAAATTCAGTTTGCTTTGTCACAGCATGAAAAAAAATTAAGCCTGTTATTTTTATTATATTTAAAAAATCGATTTAAAAAATATTGCTAGCATTGATTTTAAAAGTTTTCGACTTTATTGTGAATTGGGAAGTGTTGTCTAACACTAGCGTGCCTGAGAAGACTGTGGAAAATATTGTCTGCTCCATGATTTACAGAGATTTCGGCCACCGTTTTAGCAGCCACGGTGCCACAGCTTGTAGCTGAGCCCTGGCCCGCAGTTGCTCCTCTGCAGGCTCTGGGGAGGGGTGAGCAGCCCTCCTCAGTGACGGTGACTGGTGTCGCAGTTACGGTTAATTCACGTGAGCAGTCAGTACCTCTCTTTCTTGTCCAGAATTTTAGGAGGTTAATAAGTAGCTTCAGAGTTGTGTTTTCCCTGACTTTGGCCAATGGGTAGGTGTGTAGTCTCTGCCATTTTGGACTGTCTCTCCTACCGGAGCATTTGCTGTTTTGCCTGGGACATTGGCATTTTTTAAAACACTCTTGGGGCAGATTACCCTTGATGGTCAGGGGAGGAGTGCAGGGCCTGAGGACGGGGGAACAGCACACTGGAGTGGGCTTTCTCCACCTCTGCAGTATTGACATTTCAAACTAGATAACCCTTCCTTTGCGGGCTGTCCTGTGCACTCTAGGATGCTGAGCAACGTCCGTGGCCTCTACCTAATAGATGCCGGTAGCACTCTCTCAGTTGTGACAACCAAAGTGTTTCTAGACATTGCCCAGATGTCCTCCTGGAAACCAAATTGTCCTTGCTCGGGAACCAGTGCCTTAGAGGACAATGTTTACATGAAATTGACAGCCCCTTCTAGATGCTACAGCTCTGGAGGGGATTGGGGAGGCCACCCTGGATGAGGGCCCCTGACTTGGAGCAAGAGGAGGAAAGAAGGTTAAAGACAGGAGAAACACGGCAGACAGATACACGGAGCCAGTAAATTAGGGGTGGAGGGCTTCAGGGTAACAGTAAATGACAGTGGGGAAGGGAAGGGGGGTGCAGAGCTCTGAGGCCGTGAAGCGCAGTGCGGGGCTCCACTCATAGGTAGCTGGGAGGAGTGTGTTAGCACAGAGCCTAGTCTCCTCTCTGGAGGCGCTCACGCCTCCTCCCCTCTGCTGGGGCTGGTGGAGAGCACTTAAGTAGCTGTAGGTCCTCCTAATAAGCATTTTACTGCTTTCCCCCTGACCTTGTAGAGAGAGTTTTGTGAATCTATCAAGTGGGTTAAGTTCCCTGGAGAGAGATTGCAATTGTTCTTTATTCCCTCAACAGACATTTTTCAAGTACCCCCTAGGGCAGGGGCTGTGCCAGGCACTAGAGACCCCACTGATCACTTAGGACTGCGTGGGCTGGATGGGGAGACCAGCTCAGCCAGCACAGGTAGCCCTGGAGGAGAAAGGCAGGCCCTGTTGTCAGGCTGCCCAGGTCCACGCCCCAGCTCTGCTCCTGGCTGTGGTCTCCTTGGGCCTTAGTGTCCTCACCTGTAAAATGGAGTAATAAAATTCTTATCCCATAAGGGTACAACATATACAACCTATAGTGCAGTGCTTGGCATTAGTAGCACTTAGTGATATTAATAACATTATTATTATCTTTTTTTTAGATTTTATTTTTAGAGAGAGGGGAAGGGAAGGAGAAAGAGAGGGAAACATCAGTATGTGGTTGCCTCTTACACACCCCCTACTGGGGATCTGGCCCACAACCCAGGCATGTGCCCTGACTGGGACTCAAACCAGCCACCCTCTGGTTCACAGGCCATACCTCAGTCCACTGAGCCACACCAGCCAGGGCTCATATCGTTATTTTTAATGTTTTACTAATATTACTACCTAATGGCTATAATAGACTTAACGACTGTCAAGAAAATTCTGAGGGACAGGCGATCAAAGACTCACAGAAGAAGTGGCTTTTTTAAGAGGGATCTTAAAGAATTAGGGAGACTAACCAGGATAAAAGGTTGTGGGGTTGCGGGACGATCATGCAGGGAGACCCAGGCAGAACAAAGAGCAGGGGGAAGTAACAGCTGTGAGTGAGTAGGGCTCCTTGGGGGACAGCGGCTGGCTGTGGGCTCTGGAGGCGGGGCCGAGGTGGGCTGTGAGGCTGGGGGGCGGGGCATTGGGCCACGTGGAAAAGTGCTTGGCAAGGGCACTGCATGGACACAGGTCCCAAACCCTTTTGGCTTGGACCTGCCTCATTTGCTTTCTTTTCTCCAAAATAGATTTAGAGGAACTTGCCATTTTAATACTGTTCTCCCTTCCCTGGGCCAGTGAAATGCTAAGTGTGCTCCTTTACCTTCTAGGGATATTGAGATTTTAGGGACTGAAAAAGTAAGTTTGTCCTGCTGTCCCTATGCTGTCAGGTGGGGGACACCGTCAGCCACCGCGCATCAGGAGCCCAGCAGATGGAGAGCAGGCCTCCTTGTCTGCATTCCACTGAGGCTTCCCCACTCTGTGACCACCCCGAGGTGCTGCTGCTCACGGGAGTTCACGGAGGAGCAAGTCAAACGGCTGTTGAGTTGCTGTGTACTTCGCACCTGTCTCTCTTCTGCTGGTCTCACACTGATTCAGGGCACGGCCTGGCAACCGTCCTAGCAGACATGGCTAAACCGGGACATCTGTGCCAGGGGAGCTCTTCGTGTGTTGCCTGAGGCTTTGCTGAATCAGCCGTTGCCCTCTGGCATCCCCCTTGCTGCTGAGACGTCAGCAGCAAGGCCATGAATGTGCCCTGGATGCCCCGTCCTCTGCTTCACCACTCTGCAGCTTCGCCCAGTGAACACTGTGTGCTCATTAAGCACTTGCCAGGCCCAGGGAGTGAGGTGGAGAATGAGAGAGACTCCATCCTTGGCTTTGTGGAACATACCATGTGGCAGAGATAATTGAATACACCATTGCAAGTGGTATGGTGTATAAGGGCCAAGAAAGGCGGATGTCGTGGCACGTGGGGTGATGGGGTCAGGAAGGGCCTTGCAGAGGAGAGGAGACTCTGGTATCTGAGGATGCTTGGGAGGGGGCAGGTTGGGGCGGCTGGGAAGACCTCCCTCACCAAGCTGGCTCATAACTGAGCCTGTGGCCTTCCTAGGCTGCGTCCCCCTCCACCTGCCTGGTGCCTCCCCTCTCTTTCTTAAATTTCTCCTCTCCTGCCTGAGTCCCACTTTTCCCCCTTCCCTTCAGACATTCACTGAGCCCTTTGCTGGCTTCTCTTGCTCCTCACACATAACCCTGGCTTTTGCAGGGATGGCCTTGCTCCCATGCCAGGCTTGGTGGAGCCACCCTGGCTAGGTCCCCGGCAGACTTCAGCCAGTCTTCAGGTGGAGCCTCAGACAAGCAAGTGACAAACCGCTCTGTGTCTTGGTGTCTTGTCCATGAAAGAAGCTCCTTTAACCTGCAGTCTGAGGGCTGAGGTGATGCCTGTGAGGCACCTAGGGCAAGGCCTGTGTGAGTCAGGGTTACAACACCCTTTCCCCTTCAGCATCTTAGAGACTGACTCAGTTCGGCTAACTTTGTTTTCCCCTGGCAACCTGATGAATGCAGAGCGTCAGAGTGTTACCTGGCCACAGCGCTGTGGGAAAGCTGGCCACTGCTTGGTAAATTGCATCTGGACTGTCGGGGCTTTGAGCTTCCCAAGTATGGGGTCTCCTCGCAGGGACCCTGGAAGCTCTGTCTGTGGGTTGTCACAGGCTCCTGTGGGTGGTGGGGACAGTGCACCTTCTGTACCCACTCAGTTTGCACCTGAACTGACACCTGGGGGGTGACCTTATCTGTCAGGTGAATAGACTGTTCTAGCTCTGACATTCTGTCAATGCATACAATTAAAAATATCCATTGGGAGCCTACTATGTTGTAGGTGCTGGGAATACACTGCTGAATAACACAGATCCATTCTGTGCCCTGAAGGTACTCTGGGTCCAACCAGGAGATCCTGTCAATCTAAGTATCACCCAAATAGTAGTAGTAAAAGAGCACCCTGATAATGTGCACGTGGGTCTGGGAGAGTGCCGTGGGGAGACTGAACTAGGAGGGAGGTCAGGGAGAGCTTCCACACACTAGTCATGCTGGAGCTGGATCTGAGGAACAGGCATTATGAGCCAGACAAAGAAAAGGGAGGGAAGACTCCAGAAGGAGACAGCAGCACAGGCAAAGGCTTGGTGGGGGATGGTGCAGGGTGGAGAGAATGAGGTCAGGCAGAGCTGTGCCTCCAGGTCCTCAGACGCAGGGCTGAGACACGGGTCAGTGAGAGCTGGTGCCATTTTTGCTTCCTCATCCTCGGAGCAGCGGGAAGCAGGATAATGCAGGGCGGGGGTGCGTGGCGGGAGCAGGGGGTTGGCCTGAATGGGTGTACAATTGAAAGGCTGATCTAGCAGCAGGATGGTGAGGTCAGGCATGAGAGGAGTGAAATTTGAAGGAGCTTCTAGTGAAAAGGTTTTAATGGTGAAGGAAGCCCGACGGGTGAGCGGGGTCTATGGAGTGTCCTGGGGGACTGGCAGCTGGAGAGGAAAGTGTGACCTTTAATTCCCCTGGGCTTGGCCACCCACCTCCACCCCATTGTTGGCTTCCATGACCCAAATCACCCTTCTATGTTGCCAAAGTTACAGATCGTGGAGCTGTAACAGGAGGTTCCTAAGTACATCTCGGCAGGGGCGGAAGACCTTCAGGGCCTCAGGAACGATTGATCGAGCCCCCAGGAGCATGTTCTGTGGCTTAGAGAACTGTTCCTGGCGTTGAAGACAGACACTTGCCATCAAATAGGATGAATGAAAATCACATTTCTCTTTCTTTCTCTCTCTCTCTTCCCTCCAGGCTTATATTTGGCACCCTTTACCCTGCATATTATTCCTACAAGGCTGTGAAATCGAAGGACATTAAAGAATATGTAAGTAGCACTTTTTGGGTGGGGGAAACTGGGTGTGGACTGGCGGGAGAAGGTGGGTGTTCCTTTGATTATAGATTGTGGAGCTGTAACAGGCACTGGCAGCAGGGCAGAGGAGGCCCTTTATTACTCTTCTTCTCAAGAGACTTACCTGGTGTGACCCAGGAATCCTCTCCCCTGCCTGGCCTTCCTCTTTAGAACTAGAGTGTAGACATGAGGAAAGCAGGGAGGCTCAGTGAGGGGGAATGGCATCTGGAGTCGGGGGTCCTTCAGTCTGCCACGCACCACTGTATGGCCGTAGGTGAGTGACTTCACCTCTCTGAGCCTCGGTTTCTTTGTCTGGAAAACACTGTAGACCACAAAGCACTGTTATTGTGAGACAGTCTGGCTCCAGGGGCAGGGGCACGGTCCTAGGGTCCAGCAGACCTGGCTCAGCTTCTGGGCCTGCAACTTCAGCTCTCTCCCCATTCCAGTTCTGTGATTCGGATACCCCATGATTTAAGCCCTGCTGCTTTATAAGCTTTTAGAAGGCAGGAGTAGTTGTTCACTATTCCATGACTATTTCCCTATAGCACCTAGCAGAGGGCTGGGCACGTGGGGACAGGCTCCTTGGTACTAACTGGTTTGAAGGATGTGTTGCTGTTGGGTGATTTGGGGGCCATGGTTGCAGCCTTAGGTGGGCTGGACACCTCTAGACAGGAGGACCATCAGTTCACCCCTGACTGACAGAGACCTGTAGGGGTGGGTTGTGAGGGAAGGGGTGATACCCAGGTCAGAGTGCAAAAGATGTGGACTTGGTCATCGGGAGTTTGAAGTCAGATCCTGGTTCTGACGTTTGATTGAACCAATGCTGGGTGAGAAGCTGCGCTTTGGAGAGCCTCACTCTCTTTACCTGAGCCATGGAGTGAACAGCCGCAATCCTGGCCTGCCATGTTGTGAGGGACAAAGGGTCTTTGCTCTCCCTCTTTTATCCAGAAAGTGTATGTCACTTGGCAAGTTTGACGCAGGTAAAGAAATAACTCAGAGTGGGTTTGGAAAGTCGTCATTTCTTTCTCAGATATCCAGGATGTCTGTATGATGAACCCAGCCACCTCCAGATCAACCGCACCCAGAATTCACCTGCCACTCTCGGTTTCCTAGAACTGCTTGCCGTGGCTTTGCATTTGCTCCAAGCAGAAGGTCCAGACAGGGGTGGGTTCTTCCCGGAGACTGGGAACCTCATAGTGTTTACTATAAATAGCTGTTAAGTTGTAAGCACAGAACCACATGATTCTCAGTTGACTTGGCACAGGGGTTAAGCGTTAGGCAGACTCTTCCAGGACTCCCTTCCAGCCTAGGGTGCAGGGCGGCAGTGCCAGGGAAGGAGGCAAAACTGGGATCACCATGGTTTGAGGTCTGATCTTCTGCTTGGCAGAAACTTAGTTCTGTCAGCTCTTCTGGGAGAGCTTAAACCATAGTAAATTGTTTTGCTCTGACATCTCATAGGAGCCTACTTTAAAACTAGCATGGCAATTCATATTTAGAGTGAAAAATATAACTGACAAGCAGAGTAGCTGTTTGTGTGAACAGCTGGTGAACACATGCTTTTCCCAGTAGGGAAAGCTCGAGAGTAAAGATTAGAAGGTTTCTTGGTAAAAATGGAATTGGAAGAAAGAAGCTGAATAACACCAGGGGAGACTGGCGCACGCACCCTTGCGCACTCACTCTTTTCCCTCCTTTTGATCACAGACCCGTTTGTCCAAGAGGGAAACCTGGGAATATCCTTGTACTTCTCCTGTCCTTCACCATCCAGCTGGATAACTGGATACACACACTGGTTGGTGACCATGTCCCTTCATCTCTGTTCCCTCTAATAGTCTTTCAGACCAGGTCTCTCCCTTTCTGCTGCCACTCTGTTAAATGAGGTTCTCCTCATTTTTCCCCTGGAATGTTGCTATAGCCTCCTGTATTAGTTTTTTCTTGCTACTGTAATAAATTACCGTGAATTCAGTTGCGTAAAATAGCATAAGACTCTAGGGGAGAATCCACTTCCTTGCCTTTTTTGGTTCCTGGAGTCCACCTGCATTCCTCGGCCGGGGCCTTGTTCTCCTTCTTCAGAGTCAGTGGTGTTTCATCCCTGACCATCATTCCGTAGTCACCTCGCCCCCGACCACAGCTGGGGAAGGGGCTCCATCGTAAGTGCTCGTGTGATTACACCTGGCCCACCTGGATAATCCAGTGTGATCTTCCCATCTGAAAGTTCTTAATTTGACAACTCTGCAAAGTCCCATTTGCATATAAGGTAACATACTCATAGCTTCTGGAGACTAGGATAAGGACATCTGGGGACAAGGAGGGGCTGTTACTTTGCCTACCACACTTCCTGACTGGCTCTCCTGCCTCCTGTCCCTCGCCTTACACTCTGTTTTCTGTGTAACTTCCAGAAGGCTTTAAAAAATGGAAATAATTCATTTCACTCCCCCAGGATCCTTTAATAACTACTTCTCACCTGTATGATCAAGCCCGAACTCTGTTGCACAGAGTTGAACACCCTTTATCTCGCCCCTTCCTACTTTCCACCCCAGCCGCTTCTCTACAAGCATTGAGTGAGTGCCCTCAGTCTCAGGACTCGGAGTGTGGTCTGTGGAGTAGGACCACCAACATCACCTGGGAGCTTGTTAGAAATGAAGGCTCTCAAGCCTTGCCCAGACCTCCTGAATGAAAATCGGACTCTTACAAGATTCTCAGTTTGAGAAACACTGTTCTCCATATTCCTAACTTCTTACGTCCTTCCAATCTTACTGCACTAGTAAAGGTCTTTGGACAAAAACTTAAACAGAAAGGAATTTACGGGAATTGATAGATCTAACTAGAAGGCTTGGGAAAGATACTCAGAAACTGGGGAGGATTCGAGAAACCTGTCGCCAGGAAGCCTGTCGCAAGGTTATACCACAGGAATCTTCCACCAAGAATTCTGTACAACTCATTTACTTGCCAAATACAAATTTATTCAGCTGAGTCCAGCTCCAGGTCCCGTATCTCTCTCCTCTGGCTCTGACAGGATCTGGCCTTAATATTGAGCACTCTAAAAAATTAAATTATCAAGTGACCCATCACTGACACACCCCACCTGCTATATTAGGGGGAGAAGGAGAATAAATTAAAATGAGTTAACATATTTAAATCTATACCTAACAAAGAAATGAAGAAAATATTGATAGGAGCTACAGTCCTTAGTCATGCAAGTGGTCATGTGACCGAGCAGACGAGTGGCACGCGGTGGAAGGCCCGACAGTTAATGCTGGTAGGAACAGGTTTTTACTTACAACATTCCAACCTTGGGGGTTCTGGGAGCTCTCATGCTCTGGGCCCTGTTCTCCCTTGAGACCCAGCGCCTCCCATGATCCCCAGCAGGCTGTGAGCCAAAAGCATTCCCGAAAGTTCCCCATTTCCTTATCTTAAGCTGACTGCACACACAGTTCTCCATCCACTCTGGATCGGAGCAGCAGCTCTGTCCTTCAGGACCTGGGGTACGTTGTCGTCAGTCTCCGTGTAACAGCCCAGAAAAGTATGTGCCATGTTACTGTGGATCATGGTGAAACTCAGCAGGTCTTAAAAGTCCAGGTAAAAATCCAGGTACAGCAGGACAGGATCTTGCAAGGAAGTCCTTTGCAGCTCTGGAGTCAGCTAGAGCAGGACGATCACAGCAGTAGCATCTCTTTGCTTATTAGTTCAGGATGCATGGCAAAAGTCCCCTACTACAGACAGGATGCCTCCCCCCTCACTACTGCTACCCGCACGGCCAAGAGTGAGAATGGCTGCTGTGCTTGGTTTGAATCCCTGCCTGGAGCTTCCAGCATCACCCCATTTCCGACTCCTCCCACAGTAGGTTACATCTGCCAGTCCTCTGTACAGTGTAGCTTTATTGGGCTGGTGTAGCCCCTGATGCAGAGCATGCCTCCAAGTTCTTGCCCAGGCACAGCAAGTCCCCATTTACATCAAGGGTTAAAGTCACGCCCATCTCCCTGGCCACACAGCTTTTAACATTACTGTGATGCTAGCCAAGTTGCCATAGATATGCAAAATCTCCCAGTCACCATCCTCTGCTTCCCCCATCCCCCAAGCCAGGTTAGTGAGGGTTTTTCCTCTGAACCCCATTGCAGTCATGAGTTCATAACTAGTGTTTATGTCTTTTGTTAAAAGATAATTTTTTAAAGGTTAAAATCATGACTCTTGTACAAATATAAAATTAACATGTGTCAAAAGTTTTACTTAACTCATTGATTAATGAGGGAACTAGTAAAGTGCTAAAAAACCTTTCAGAGGAGACTCCAAAGAACAGGCACATAAGCAGTCAGGAGTGGTGAAATAAAATTGATTCTTGGACAAATGGAGAGATCAGTTGTACCTCTATTGGACAAAATCATTTGCACTGTAATCAATTTTCTATAACTTACAAAGTTGTAAAATAGGTCAAAGACAGTGAAAAACAAAACACCTGTAGAACCAAGATAATTCAGAAGGATGCTCTAGACACCTACAATTCCATAGCACACCCATTCCCAAGTCTTTTATAATTTTTCCTATGCTTTCTTCTTCCACCATCTAATGCAAGCTCCCTTTATCTTCAGTTAGAGCTTTGGTACTGGGGTTCCTTATCTAGGATGTGGCCTGAATCTTCATTCCTGAGCAATCTAAGATCTTAGTAATCCTACCTCTAAAGGGTTGTAGTGATTCATTGACTTTTATCTCTGAATGAGAGGTCATCCATCCAGGTACTAAAATTATTAAAAAGCAGAATTTGGTTTCAGGTTGAGAAGCAGAAACGTTGAGTCAGACCAATGAATCTTGAACTTTAACATGCATATGAATGAACAGAGGATTTCATTAAAATCCTGATTCTGATCCATTAGGTCTGGGGTGGGGCCTGGGACTCTGTATTTCTATAAGATCCTCTATGATTCCAGTGGTGCTGGTCAAGCACAGGCCACAGATACCTGTGTTCTGAGGGCCCATTTGCATCA